ACAAAACTGACTGCGTGAAATACATTACATATCAGCAAAACACACTTATACCTGCATATCCTGATGCTGTCTCCATAAACTTGTTGAAAGCTAGAATTAGGCATGAATACAGAGAAAATACGATTTAATGGAAGCCTGAATCAATTTTACCAGTCATTCTGAAAAGGCTCCATCTAAACGCAAATGATTTCTACGAATATGGAATAAACGACATTTCGTAATTGAATAAAGCAAAGCAATCAGAAGAGATAACCGAATATTGTGAATGTGTAGATAGTGATAATACTAATACTGGAAAAAAATAAATTATATACATTTTATATACACGAATCGTTTTATAAAAAAGGAGGAGAAAGTAACTTAAAACGTAGTAATAATTTAATTTATGCCGAGTATTTCAAAGAACGCCTTGCACATTAAGAAATGACTGATCAAAGTAGATGGTGTATATCTTAGTGGAACACTGGATATAAACATTTCGACCTCATATCTTTGTTCACTTCTTAGAACACTCCACAAGTGACCGTTGAGGCCTTAATTCAGCAAGGATCTACAGAATGCTGGAATTTGACAATGACTTGAATTTATTCGCCCATCTTATCTGGATGGGATAAATTCAGACTAACATGATTTTCATATTCAACGAAATATCCGTTTGAATCACTCATTGGAGAAGTGATTCCGATGTGTTCCAAATTGTTAAGTGATCACGGAATAGATTCTCTTCAAAAGTCAGTTTGAGCAAGCCTGCTGAACATTTCAACGTGTGACGATTTTCCGATAGCTTTGAAATCAGTAAAACCTTGATTTAGTTTCAGAAGACAATCTAATTGACTGTCTCACAGACTGATGGCAACTCGGTAGGCAGTGTAATAAATAGTCTAGAAGCCCATATACGAATCATCTGTTAACAACATTGATGTCCTGTCTGAATATTTGTTTACTATCTGCTTTCTAACTGTCCAACAATGGAAGTAAATAACTTCATTTCACGTTTTTAATAGGATTTACCAAATTTAATTTAATGGCCAGAATGGAATAATTCGCGATATCTTTGATTTATGAGTGTTACGTTTTCACGGTACTTTGACGAATAGAGTGGACAGACTGAAGTAAATTTGATTGAAACTTCAATTCCACTGGCGAAATTCTGAAAACTGATATCAGATGAGCCAAATCGGTTGTCAGGATGCGACATTGGAAGTTCGTAGAGTGTAATAGCACAAAGCAAAATACTGACTAGTTCCGCTTGTGACCACCTGGCGCAGGTGAAATTTCATTTTCCGTGCCTACCTTGGAATTTGTAAACAACCACTGGTTTAATGCCGTTGTATTGGTGTAATGTATCACAGGTCCACGTGAGTACATGTTAAGAAATATTACGTTTTACCTTACCAAGTGTGAGTGACGAATGCGTTAAACAGACAATGCTTTTCACTAGCACAAAAGTATAACAACTTGAAGTCGTCTTTGATTGGAATCTTGATATTCTGAATACAGACTCGTTGAACTTTATCAGTCAACAAAATGAGCATTTACCACACCAAACTTTGAAGTGCCTCACCTCTAAAGCATGAGGTAGAGTGGTTTCTCTACAAATATTCATAATTTTTCAAACAGAAAAGTCGAAAAGAAACAGAGAATGTTTTACAACACAGCTGTGCTGTTTTCATTTCACAACGCAACCATCTTATATTGCTGTAATTCTTCGTTAGAAAAAGTGAAACATGTTCTGGGCACCGAGTAATAAAGTAGAAAGAAGTTCTTAGGTTCAACTGTGGCCTAAAGAATAACTTTCAAATTTAATTCATTAGCAAATCAAGTGATTTCACTCGATATAAATAGTTCAAGCCTAACAAAAACGTTTGAAAGGAACCTGAGTAACTAAAAATTACATTTGGAAAGTATTGAAGCATAACTTCAGTGTAGATACAACTTTTTTTAGTTGCAGCGTGTTATCACCTTTGACAGATTATGACCATTATATTAGACTCTAAGTGTAACTCAACAAAGGTAACATATCACAGGGAACTATGTTGATTGAACCATTCACTTGACTCCCGAGAAATTTGGTCTCAATTCGATGCTATATTTTATTTTAAAAATATGGAGAGATAACAGCATCTCACATTTCTTTGTTAATGGTAAACAGGATGTCACAGTAAGTAATTCTCACCATAAACGAAGGATATTGACATTGGAAAACGAACAATCGGAAAGGAAACTTCCAGTTATTTTTCATTATTTATTGATAAATGCTTGCCACACCTTAACTTGAATGAGGACAAGCAAACAATTTGCTCGCGTTTTTTCTTACTGCCTAACTCAAAATCATCTATAATACCTAAGAATTACTTTCTGCTGTTACTGATGGGACATGCGAAACTCTACTTAGGTTTATTTATATCCTTTAGACTTCAAAGGTTGCAAAGTAAAACAGTAACTGCATATTACATCTCAGTTGAAGAGAAAGTGCTTCATCTAGCTAATCTTGTAGTAAAAGACAATTATTTTGAATATGAATCAGCGATATCAACAGCTGATTTGAGTTTGTTGAAGTTATGCAGGCCTGTTGAAAATTGTCAGTTACATAATTATTGTAGCGTATTTTAGAAGAAATTCAACTTACACGTGTAATAAAAGTGTTTTTTTCACTAAACGATACCATCAGAAGAACAATGGAACGCAATGGCATGATTATGAGTCCTCGTGTAGAACGCTCAAGCTTCATGCACCTAGTAACCTTTGAAAGTCAGCAAATTATTAGACAACCAGACAGTTTTCGAGTACTGCTTTTGTAGGGATTTTTCTTTGATTGCATGAAGGATTTCATCAAGAGCTGACACCACCGAGGTTTTTCCCAAGAGTCCCAAACGAAGGCGTACAATTTACTTTTTTGATTGTTAACCAGTCATTTGGTATAATTATCAACTTCACTCTTACGAGTTAACTCTGAACAAGCTCATTATGTTTACGTAGGATATTCACGTAGTAACTTAGATATTTTCATCCAAAGATTCTCACAATGCACAAAGTATCCAATGTTAATTTTCTCCAACGACTCAGCCATACCTGAATTGGAATAATTTATTCTGAATCAGAGACACAAACAGAGATGTTACTAGTTGACAAAACAACCTCATGTCGAATTCATGAGGTGACTTGAATTCATGCAAATTCGACGAATATTTGTTATCGTAGATATGCCTTTTCCTCGCTATCCTCACAGATATCTTTGAAGTTATCTGACAGTCCAGCTAAACATTTAAAAGGGGGGGTGACGTATTTCCTACACTTAAGAGATGAGTCTGCACACAACGTGGGTTTGAACCCTAACAGGTAATAGGGAGGATTTTGATTCACGAAAAATACCCATTTATTCATAAGTAAAAACACAGTTTTTTGTTCAGCGAAGAAATTTCTTTGCAACGACTTCATTTGCAAGCTCTACAGTCGTATTTATATTACAGAAAAGGTTATTAAGTGGCACTAAATAATTGCTCAGTCAATATACATATATGTGATAAGAATAATGATAATTAAAATGCTATAAGGCGTAGAGTTGAAGTGGATAAATCACAAAATTATTAAAGATTGTTTTATAAGTGAATTGAAATCCAAAATGTTTTAAAAATGTCAAGTGTTGTCTAAAAATTTTAAAAAATAAGAGTACGATTACAATAAGAATGAAGATGTAAGGTGAAGTGGAAAGAATTCAAGTGGTAAAATAAAATAAAGTAAAAACTAGAAAGAACATTACTATGACCAAAGTAAAGAAAGGGGTTTCATTGGAATATACCTCAAGTATTAATCAAATATGTAACCTATTCTGTCCCAAAAGAAGAAAACAAACATGATGAGTCATGATATAACCTGTTGTAAATTTCAGCCCCAAAAAGTAAGCAGATGACTATTCGAAAGAAAATGTCATTCTGTATTTAACCACATTGCAAGATTATTGCTAATAATATTCATCCTTAAAATTCCGAGGAGAACTCATGGTTAAAATGCAGCAAAAAAAAGATAGATAAAATAAGATGCCAGCCATGTTGAAGTACACACAGTTTCACAATTAAAAAAGATGTTCCGTTGAAGAGAAAAATAATTACTTTGTGACTTAATTAGGGACATAACAGTCAGATGATAACGGGTTTGTGTTGACATTGTTAATCTTTGCAAAAGGTCAGATGCTATTTCATGTTAGAAACTAAACAAATCAAAGTGTACGGGAGATAATACTGTGTGAAAAATATTGAACAGTCTGACAAAGTCGACAGGATCAACAAGTAATCAGTTAACCAATCAACAGACATGTGAAAAAGAATGATAATAAAAGGAAAACTTAGGATTGAGAATGGTTTACAAAAGATGAATTGACTTCATTTGAGTTTATTATTCAGCAAAGTAAAATTGAACATCGTGTTCAGAAATTTATCTTTAATTGTTGTATAATAGACTACAGAGAACTCCGTTCAATTCTTTGTGGCCCATTTTCAGTCCTTTGTATTTTTGTTACCAACGGATTATTTCTTAATGAGTTTTCATCACTCGACTAGTTACGTCATTACTTGATTATTGAAATATTTTGATCTACTTTTTTAAGTGAATATAACCTAAATGAATGTGGAATGGGGTATCAGAAGGCGACCTATCTACTACCTTGTGTGTTTCTCATGCTAAATAAGTTTCGGTTGAGTTCAAGAAAAGTAAATTGTAACTGTTATTATTTACGATTTAGATGAAGATGGTGAGGAAGGCCATAGAGGTGAGTTGTTACATGATATTTTCCTTATTTCATCTTCAGTATTTCAAGGGTGACTATTCAGGAATAAATTAAGTTTTACAAGACTGTTAATATTGCTATTAGTATAACCATTCATCTTTACATTTGCTATAGGAAAATAGGACTTCAGCGAAATACGAAAAGATATATATATATATACATGTATAATTCGAGACACCATTTCATACAAATTCTACCAATATTTGTAATTGTAGATATGGCTTTTACTCGCTATCCTCAAGGTATCTTTGAAGTTATCTGACAGTCCACCTAAATATTCAAAAGGAGGAGTGTGACGTATTTCATATACTTAAGAGATGAGTCTTCACACGAAGCAGGTTTGAACCCGAACAGGCAACAATGGGAATTTTGATCAGAATCTGCCTCGAGTGTTAATCAAATATGTAACATATCCTGTGCAAACAGAAAAAAAGAAACATGATACGTCATGATATAACCTGTTCCCCAGCAGAAGCTGACTGTTCGAAGGAAAATGTCATTCTGTAAAACTGAATGTATTTAACGACATTCTAAGATTTTTGTTATTAATATTCATCCTTAGAATTCCGAAGAGAACTTACGTTTACAACACAGTAAGAGAAAACGAAAGACTACTTAAGATGCCAGCCATGTTGAAGTGCGCACAGTTTCACACTTGAAAGATGTTCCGTTGAAGAAAGGAGTAATTCCTATGTGACTTGATTAAAGACATAACAGTCAGATAATAAAGGGTTTGTGTAGACATTGTTAGTCTTTGCAAAATGTCAGATGCTATTCCATGTTAGAAACTAAACAAATCAAAGAGTACGGGGGATAATACTGTGTGAAAAATATTGAGCAGTCTGACAAAGTCGACAGGGTCAACAAGTAATCAGTTAACTAGTGCATAGATATCTATAAAAAGAGTGATAATAAAAGGAAAACTTAGGATTGAGAATGTGCTACAAAGGATGAATTGACTTTATTTGAGTTTATTATTCAACAAAGTAAAATTGAAGATTGTGTTCAGAAATGCATCTTCAATTGTTGTATAATAGACTCCAGAGAACCCTTTCATTTCTTCATGACCCATTTTGAATCCTTCATATTTTTGTTTCTGACGTATAAGCTTCTCATTCAGTATTGATCACTTGACTAATTACGTAGCTGCTAAATTTTCGAAATATTTTGATCTACTTTTCTAAATGGGTGACTATAACCTATTGCACATATAATCTCCTTAAATGAATGTGGAATAGTGTATCAGAAAGCGAACTATCTGCTAGCTTGTGTGTTTCTCATACTAAATACGTTTCGGTTGAATTCAAGAAAAGTAACTTGTAACTGCTATTATTTCGGATTCAGGAGATCATGATGGAGGCGAAAGAGGTGAGTTGTTACATGATATTTTCCTTATTTCATCTCCCGAAATCCAAGGCTGACTTTTCAGTAATAAGTTTCGTCATAAAAGACTGTTAATATTACCATCAGCATGACTATTCTTCTTTACATTTACTTTGGGAAAATGGGACTTCAATGAAATACGAAGATATATATATATACATATATAATTCGAGACACCATTCCATGCAAATTTGACCAGTATTTGTAATTGTAGATATGGCTTTCGCTCACTATCCTCAAAGATATCTTTGAAGTTATCTGACAGTCCAGCTGAACACTTAAAAGGAGGACTGTGACGTATTTCCTACACGTAATACATGAGTCTGCATACAAGGTGGGTTTGAACGCTAATAGGTAACTGGGAGAATCTTGATTGGAATATACCTTAAGTATTAATCAAATATGTAACTTATCCTGTCCCAAAAGAAGAAAAGAAACATGATGAGTCTTTTGTTGTTGTATAATAGACTCCAGAGAACCCTTTCAATTATCTGTAACCCATTTTGAATACTTTACAGTTTTGTTTTCGACGTATTCATTATCCGACTAATTAAGTGGCTGCTTAATTTTTGAAATATTTTGATCTACTTTTCTAACTAAGTGACTATAACCTATTGCATAGTTAATCTTCCTAAATGAATGTGGAGTAGAGTATCAGAAAGTGACCTATTCGCTGCCTTATGTGTTTTTCATGCTAAATAAGTTTCGGTTGAATTCAAGAAAAGTAAATTGTGACTGTTATTATTTAACATGCAGGAGGTGATGAAGAGGGAGGTCCTAGAGGTAAGTTGTTACATGCTATTTTCCTTATTTATCTCCAGAAATTCAAGGGTGACTATTCAGGAATAAATTTAGTTTCACAAGACTGTTAATATTACAATTACCATAACTATTCGTCTTTACATTTGCTACGGGAAAAATGGGACTTCAGCGAAATACGAAAAGATATATATACATATCATTCGAGACACCATTCCAGTTTAATATGAAATGCACATCTTTCAGTGAAACGTGTTACAGTTGAATTTATGAAACTTAAGTAGCAACTGTATTCATTTCTATTCTTACAGAAGATCAGAGGGATAGAGAAGAAGGCGGCAAATTGTGATCTTCTCTTCAATTCATTATAAAAAGTTAACGTGTTTCATATAAAGTTTATAAAGAGAATGTTGGATCTGTCCATAATTAAAATGGAATTAACTAGATAACACACTTTTGGAAGAATTTCGATGTGTGAGTAAATTTTGAACTCACTTAGGAAAATAATGGAAAACAAAACAAAAAAGGCATTATATAATAATAAAAAAAACGTTGTTACAGCCGCTATGTAGCAATTACAGTAAAAAAAATATGCATAAAGTATAAAATTGTAGTAATAATAGTAATAACAACTAAAAAAGAATAGCTAAGTTATAATTAAACGATAGAAAGGGTGACACCATAAAATTACAGAAAGTTGAGCGATGAAAGCGTCGATTCACTTTGCTAATTACATAGTAACCTATATGCTTCACGTGTAATAGTGTCTCTATCACATAAAATACTTGCGAAATAGGGTATTGTAGAATTTTTGTACTTAGTGATGGGAGCATATAACTTCTTATATTGACTTCTCGTCCTACCTGATGAGATGCATGGGGATAGTTGTGAATAAAGAGAGTGCAGAGGGGTCTAACAGTACGGCCTTTGCCCTTTTTGTACAGGAATTTGTATCTCCCTCGACTCTAATATTGGCGAGCTCATGCAGTGGCATACCACTAACGGCACTGGAGCTTGATTTTATTTAGATGTGTATTTTGCGTATATCCTTTTTATCCCCATTCACTTCCTCAGTTGGCAGGAAGTTTTCAGCAACGTAACTGACACAGCTTCCACATGTGTATTCTATGTGATCGACCAAATGATCTACATTGCGAACAGTATATAGATGATAATGAAAGTCCATAATTAGTTGAAAATGCTTTCATTGTCGGGCTTGCAATGTTTATGAACCATGTACAGGCACTTATTTGACGTTTGTACTGAAAATCAAGATCTTCTTGCATATTCTAGATGCTGTAGATTTACAACTTGGTAGTGAAGACGTAACTTGATGGTGACTGATGCACCGTTTATAGGCTAACTTTATACCTTTATCAACTTTATTCGTTATTTCTGTACAGTCTTCACTGGCTCTTCTGCCAACTAGTTGATTTTCAGTTAATTCTCTACAATTTTGTGTGACATTATATAGAAATTATTCACAAAGGTCAAATCTTTCAGAGTCTTCCTGTTGTTCAGACATGTGTATATCTATTTACACTCTTCAGCCTGCTTTATTTTATGGAAAATTAGGGGTGGCAACAGGTGGCTTCGTTTAACTCTTATTTCCACTCAAAAACACTTTGTTTGGTAATCAGTCTAGATGCGGCATCATCGTAGAGTTATTCAGTGGGATTCATAAATATTCACTTCACTTCGTAGAATTTTATTAAATGCTACTTTGCTATGGCCAATGATGCTAAAGGCTTTTAAAATCTTTAGAGATGACAATGAGAACTGGATGAAATATTCCCACTTTGAGTCATAGATGAAATGCAGAGACGAAGATGAATTTTGGAAGGAAACTTTTCTTCGCTTTATAAGTCTTTCTTTTATGACACATATATACAGCTGACTGGCATTCTCGACTTTGTTTCATGATATTGCACAATTCCCATGACAGTCCAGCTAAACATCCTACACTTAAGAGATGAGTCTGCACACAACGTAGGTTTGAACCGTAACAGATAACAGGGAGAACTTTGATTAGAATATACCTTAAATATTAATCAAATCAAATGATGTGCGTTGGTGGCATAGCGGTTAGGACGCTCGTCGACCATGGACATGGTCCGGGGTTCGATCCCCGGCCGACAAAGCACTCCTTCACCTCGATAAGCCAGAAATAATGCTGATGAAGAGGAAAGGTTAGGCATGAGGCTACCGACCCCATCCTGTAAAATAAACACTGCTACCGAAACTTCAAGCCACTAGCTTGAAGCCCTATGTTCCACTGGGGAACGTGAAGGAAAATATATATAATATATATATATATATATTAATCAAATCTGCAACCCATACTGTCTCACCAGGAAGAGGCAAAAGACGTAAGTCACAATTTTACCTGTTCCCATTTTTATCCTCAGCAGACAGAGATGACTATTGGAAACAAAATTTTATTCTATAAAACTGAATGTATTTTACCAAATTGCAAGATTATCGTTAGTAATATTCATCCTTCGAATTCCGAGGACAACTTACAGTTACAACACAGTAAAAGAAAATGATAGATAAAATAAGATGCCAGCCATGTTGAAATGCGCACAGTTTCACACTTGAAAGATGTTCCGTTTAAGAAAGGAGTAATTCCTATGTGACTTATTTGAGGACAGCAGTCAGATATTAAAGGGTTTGTGTTGAAATTGTTAGTCTTTGAGAAAGGTTAGATGCCATTTCTTGTTAGAAACTAAACAAATCAAAGTGTACAGGGGATAATACTGTGTGAAAAATATTGAGCAGTCTGACAAAGTCGACAGGGTCAACAAGTAATCAGTTAACTAGTGCATAGATATCTATAAAAAGAGTGATAATAAAAGGGAAACTTAGGATTGAGAATGTGCTACAGAAGATGAATTGACTACATTTGAGTTTGTTATTCAACAAAGTAAAATTGAACATTGTGTTCAGAAATTTATCTCTAATTGTTTTATAATAGACTCCAGAGAACCCCTTTCAATTCTTTGTGACCTCTTTTCAGTCCTTTATATTTCTGTTTTCGACGTATAAATTTCTCATTGAGTATTCATCAGTCGACTAATTACGTGATTACTTGATTTTTCAAATGTTTATGATCTACTTTTCTTACTAAATGACTTAAACCTATTGCATACATAATCTCTCTAAATGAATGTGGTTTTGAGTATCAGAAAGTGACCTCTCTGCTGGCTTATGTGTTTCTCATGCTAAATAAGTTCCGGTTGAATTCAAGAAAAGTAAATTGTGACTTTTATTATTTTAGATTCAGATGAAGATGGTGAGGATGGTGAAAGAGGTAAGTTATGATATGATATTTCCTTTTTTCATCTCCAGAAATTCAAGGGTGACTATTCAGGAATAAATTTCGTTCTAGAAGATTACATCTCAGCAAAACACACTTTAGAACTTCATATCCTAATGCAGTCCTCATAAGCTTATTGAAAGCTGGAATTTAACATAAATACGCAGTACATGTGACTTAATGGAATCTTCAATTAATTTCACCGGTCATTCTGAAAAGGCTATATTTAAACGCAAATGATTTCTACGGATATCCAGTATATGACATTTCGTAATTGAATAAAGCAAAGCAACCAGAAGAAATGACCAAATATTATGAACATGTAGATAGTGATAATAATAGTACTGGAAAAAATAAATTATGTACATTGTATATACATGATTCATTTTATAAAAAAGGTCCAGAGCGTAAGTTGAAATGAACTAATATTTTAATTCATGACCAGTAGTTCAAAGAACGCCTTGCACATTGAAAATGACGAAAAGAATTAGACAGTAAATATCGTAGTAGCATACTGAATATAAAACATTTCGACCTCATATCTTTGTTCTCTTCTTAGCACACTCCACAGGATTCTGGAATTCGACGATAACATGAATTTATTCACCCATCTTATCTGGATAGGATAAATTTAGACTCACATGACTTTCATATTCGGCGAAATATCCGTTTTAATCACTCACTGGAGAATCTATTCCGATGCGCTTCAAATTGTTGAGTGATCACAGAACAGAGTTTCTTCAAAACTCAGTTTGAGCAACCCCACTGAACTTCAGGAAATTACGAAGAGATACACAAACATGTATATATATATAAATGGAGACAGCATTCTAGCTGGACATGAAATGCACATTTTTCAATGAAACGTGTTACATTCGGATTTATGAAACTTAAATCATAACTGTATTCATTTCCCTTCTCACAGGTGAAAGAGACAGTGATGGTAATTTTTGATCTTCTTTTCAATTCATTATAAGAAATTAACATATGTTGCGTAACTTCTGAATTTGTCCATAATTAGATTGGTATTAACTAGTCATCACACTTTTGAAAGCAAGCCTATGTATAGATATATTTTGAACTAAGCTGAGAAAATGGTGGAAAATAGATTCCACTGTAAAGTGGTGCAGAAATCATTGCAACGGTATTAGGAATTCAAGACGTACCTATCAATCCGTGATATGTAAGGATATCACATGTTTGATATACATGTATGAATATCTAGGCTTCCAAATAATTACGTTGACCTTGTGTGTGCAATAATGTCAGAACCAGTACAGTCAGGCCAATGAATATCAGATGGTCAGAATTGGAAACCAACTAGACTACCTGGCGGGCAAACAGCCAACAAAGAGGGCGTAATTCTTGCGTGAATGAAATCTAGAAAATAGTAAGAAGTATTCATTTGGGGTACATCATAATCCTATTAGTGGCAATTATTTGAAGTACTTAGGATATACTGAAAGACGATAGCACTGATACACTATGTGTCATTTGTAACAGTGAGGAACACCAGAGAAATACACATGCTCAAGCATTTATTATCCTTATTGTATCCGTAAATGTCCAAACATAAATGAATTTATGTTCCAATTCAGAATCACCTGGTGGGCATGGTAAGTAAAGATTTGCTCTAGTTAAATTTGTTTGCTTGATATACTTCACATTTGACAGTCATCAGCATTCCACCTTATGAATCTTTGCGAAATTTGGTGATGATTTCCTTATGATCACTGATAATGTGATTATCTGTCAAGTAAAGTTCACCAGAAATCCACTCACATTCATGAATTACTCCTTTCAACATATATATATCATGTCTGATGATGGAGATGAACAAATTTCAATAAAATTCTGTTGAAAATCATGAACATTTCTCCTGCCTGCAAACAGAGGGTTTCCAGATCACAAGAATCAATTTTATTGTAAACTTCACTTGGGTATTAGTCCTTTCAAAAAGGCCAGCTTACGCATAGGAAGCCATCGAGTTATAATATGTCTGAAATGTCAGATAATCAGGGTGATGGTGTTTAGGTAAAACATTTTGTACTATTTTAGACTGTTTGAGTTCTTATTGCATTCTTCGGAAATAACACAGCAGATAATTATATTGCGTTTAGGAAACACATCCAAATACTGAACGTACGCAGTGAGGCACCTCCGTTTCCTCTGTTGATGTCATACAAAGAGAGAAAATGACTAGTCTACATAAAATCCTGCACTCAGTACAACCGAAGCAAAAGTGAAATATCCAGACACAGTTTGAGTACTTGGTTGTATCCAAACACAGGTTCAGTGAAATGCCGGCATCGCCATACATTTACAGATCAATACAGTATCACAAAATTTCTTGGAGGATGTAACTGCACATGATTTTCGACAAAGCATTCGATGCAGAAAAAATTATACTTACATTGTGACAGGACACTTTGTTATCTGACTGGTGACTGTATTTACAAAAACCTAAATGTTTAGGCCTGAGCGCAGGATACCAAGAAGTGCTTCCTTCTGTGTATCTTTCTAAGCTGTTGCAAGTTAAGCATCGTCAAATCTCATGTTCCAGCGACATCAGAATACGTCTAAACATCATAGAATTTGTGGCACTGAAAGAGAATAATGACTTCTTGCAAATATACACTTAAAACAAAAGATGTTTATACTTTGGGGTGGTAATTCACTAATCAGGGAGAAATAAGGAAGGAATCGCGAAATTAGTACCAATATTGGAATAATTACCAACATCCTTAGTAATGGGTTACTCATGTAGTGATGTTTAGATTAATCATTCTGCCACAGTAACTGTGGTCTCATAGTTCCTAATGTACAGTGAGGTTTGAAAGTATTGACAAAAGGTATAGGAATTTTTAGAGGTACATCGTGTGAATATGATTCTCTGAATGCATAAAGTGAGCGGAATGCATATTTTGTCTCACGAGTCTATATCAGTTGATCTTTCATCATCAGCGAATCCAGTAGTCAACAAATGACGGACGTCGGTTGACACGTCCATAGATAAAGCCATATAATTTAAACATTAAAATTAAACGAGAACCTTTGAAAAATACAGCAGTTCATAAAACCTTGAATACACATCTAATTGTAGAAGCAGTGACCATTAACATGGCATTCGCTAAACCCAACACACTGACGCATTTATTTATCTTTCATCTAGATAATGGTGAAGGGCCCGGTAAGTATTAACATGCATTCAATGTCACGTAGCCTGCACTAATCCACATAAAACTATGTGAAACAATAAACAGTTGTACAATGAATTAACTAGACGCAAGAATGAAATATGAATGGACATTGAATCGAATCTATGTATTATAGCTAAAAAGATATTCTCTGAAGTGAGGAACCTACCTTCCGATCTGCTATCGGTGAATGAAGTCGGAGCTCGTTGGCAGTTGCATCGTGTACCAGAGGCTGAATGGTTATTGAGCTCGTCTTGCCACTTGAATGAATTCGGTTCTAACCTTGGCAGTGGCTGCGTACTTCTGAAGCAGGGTCCCAAACTAGGACGAAATAGATGTCCAGTACTTTCAGGTCTTTCAGTGGTTCTGTAATCGATGTCAGCTCATAATGAAATCCAGTATTTAATCAAATACACGCAAACCGAAACTTGAAGATCTCCTTTTGTATTAGCATTTTAATACTGTTTTATCAGAAGATTTTGAATGGGAAATCGAGAAATCGCACAGTTATTGAACGTGAAATCAAAACACACAGATAGTCGAAAGCGTTAAACATTTAGTTTTGCTTCTAAGCAAACACCAAAACGTCTTAGTAAATTGGGACATTTTACATTCTCAATTCTATTAGATATATGTTCTCAATGACTACTCATGTGAAACAAAGTCAGAACCAGTGCAGTCAGGCCAATGAATATCAGATGGCCAGAACTGGACACCAACTAGAATTTCTGGCAGGCAAACACTCAACGAATAGGGTGTGATTCGTGCACGAATGAAATCTAGAAAATAGTGAGAAGTATTCGTTAGTGGAATACCATAATGGTATGAGTGACAATTAATTAAAGAGCTTAGAATATACTGAAAGATCATAGCGCTGATGCACTATGTGTCATTTGTAGCAGGAAAGACCCAAATATGCATCCGTTTTCTGGTCACAAGTTGAATGCTGTATCCAAAGTGTATCATGTCACTCTTCAGCATGAAGATAGCATAATTTGCTGACTTCGTCAGATATATCTGATATTCCAACTGTCTGTTTGCAAGACAACTGCATGTTAGCATCGCACAGAGTTCAACTCACAAAAGAGACTGGAATATGATAGCTGCACTATATACATTACTCCAAAAAAGGCATTTAGAATACTACGTTTGATACACATGACGATCAAGATGAATGCATTCAGTCAAAAACCGTGAGGCACGCCAGAGAAATACACATGCTCAAGCATTTATGGTCCTTATTGTATCGGTAAATGTTTAGAAATAAATGAATTTATATTCCAATGTAGAAGGACCACGCGGTGACCATGGTAAGTAATGATATGCTCTAGTTAAATGTCTTTGCTTTATATTTTTCACATTTGACAGTCTTCGGCATTCCACTTTATGAATCTTTGCGAAATTTGGTGATGATTTCTCTATGATCACTGATAATGTGATTATTTCGCAAGTAATGTCCATCAGAAATCCACTGACTTTCATGAATTACTCCTTTCAACATATATATTTATTTCCCGACACGAATTTAATACAAGCAATAAAGGTCAATAAAGCAGGATTTAATGAATTCATCAAATTTCGGTAGAACTCGTCAGCTGAATACTCTGCATACACGGATATATACTTTTGAAGTTACATTGGGAGATATAGGACTGAATACTTTACATACACGGATATATATAGTTTTGAAATTACATTGGGAGATATAGGACTGATAAGTAAATAAACTACATTGAATTAGTCATGCAGAAAGACAGGTGCGAATGTTTTTCCAGGTCATGTGCAATTAGATAAGGGGAGAGAGAGTATGGGAGATCAAAATTAAGATAAATTGCATTACGCTTCAATTACATCACTTAGATAAACAATTAGACATTAGAGAATTTAAAAAGAATTGCAACCAGAGGGATGTCAATAGCAATAGTCATAATAACAATAATATAATATAACAATAATAATAATAGTATTGAAGTGGGTTAAGATAATGCTACTGATAAAGGTTAGTTTTAAATGAATCAAGAATAATAATAATGAGAATAATAATAGTAATAATAAAATAATAATAAGAGGTAGAGTTATAAGTAAAACGTATTACCATGGTAGATTCAGAGTCACGACCATCTCCTTTTGTACACAGAGACCTGGTTTGTAAACTCGAATTGCACAAGCCTCTGCAATTGCAAGCATCTTCATGTTTCTTTGTCTGCTGA